CTAACTTGGGCTATATAGCTTAACTGCAGTCATCAAATAGGTATTTCTAATGCCTTTTTTTTTCTTCTGAAAAATTTTTTTTTATTAATTTACATTAATTCCCTGAGCATCATCACAACATTCTAAATGTGGTTTCCCATCTAGAATATACTATATAGTGGCTTAATAATGCATGTTATCCATAATATTCCATTTCTACTTTCATATATATGTTTTTTACCGGAGGCCCAGTTATCAGTGGGACATCTTCCTTTCTCCCCAAATGGCTAGATCTCAGGAGCCATGGAGCTGGCTGTCTCTTGAAGAAGGGCTGTTCACGCGAGTTTTGGATGCTGGAGGCCCAGTTATCAGTGGGACATCTTCCTTTCTCCCCAAATGGCTAGATCTCAGGAGCCATGGAGCTGGCTGTCTCTTGAAGAAGGGCTGTTCACGCGAGTTTTGGATGCTGGAGGCCCAGTTATCAGTGGGACATCTTCCTTTCTCCCCAAATGGCTAGATCTCAGGAGCCATGGAGCTGGCTGTCTCTTGAAGAAGGGCTGTTCACGCGAGTTTTGGATGCTGGAGGCCCAGTTATCAGTGGGACATCTTCCTTTCTCCCCAAATGGCTAGATCTCAGGAGCCATGGAGCTGGCTGTCTCTTGAAGAAGGGCTGTTCACGCGAGTTTTGGATGCTGGAGGCCCAGTTATCAGTGGGACATCTTCCTTTCTCCCCAAATGGCTAGATCTCAGGAGCCATGGAGCTGGCTGTCTCTTGAAGAAGGGCTGTTCACGCGAGTTTTGGATGCTGGAGGCCCAGTTATCAGTGGGACATCTTCCTTTCTCCCCAAATGGCTAGATCTCAGGAGCCATGGAGCTGGCTGTCTCTTGAAGAAGGGCTGTTCACGCGAGTTTTGGATGCTGGAGGCCCAGTTATCAGTGGGACATCTTCCTTTCTCCCCAAATGGCTAGATCTCAGGAGCCATGGAGCTGGCTGTCTCTTGAAGAAGGGCTGTTCACGCGAGTTTTGGATGCTGGAGGCCCAGTTATCAGTGGGACATCTTCCTTTCTCCCCAAATGGCTAGATCTCAGGAGCCATGGAGCTGGCTGTCTCTTGAAGAAGGGCTGTTCACGCGAGTTTTGGATGCTGGAGGCCCAGTTATCAGTGGGACATCTTCCTTTCTCCCCAAATGGCTAGATCTCAGGAGCCATGGAGCTGGCTGTCTCTTGAAGAAGGGCTGTTCACGCGAGTTTTGGATGCTGGAGGCCCAGTTATCAGTGGGACATCTTCCTTTCTCCCCAAATGGCTAGATCTCAGGAGCCATGGAGCTGGCTGTCTCTTGAAGAAGGGCTGTTCACGCGAGTTTTGGATGCTGGAGGCCCAGTTATCAGTGGGACATCTTCCTTTCTCCCCAAATGGCTAGATCTCAGGAGCCATGGAGCTGGCTGTCTCTTGAAGAAGGGCTGTTCACGCGAGTTTTGGATGCTGGAGGCCCAGTTATCAGTGGGACATCTTCCTTTCTCCCCAAATGGCTAGATCTCAGGAGCCATGGAGCTGGCTGTCTCTTGAAGAAGGGCTGTTCACGCGAGTTTTGGATGCTGGAGGCCCAGTTATCAGTGGGACATCTTCCTTTCTCCCCAAATGGCTAGATCTCAGGAGCCATGGAGCTGGCTGTCTCTTGAAGAAGGGCTGTTCACGCGAGTTTTGGATGCTGGAGGCCCAGTTATCAGTGGGACATCTTCCTTTCTCCCCAAATGGCTAGATCTCAGGAGCCATGGAGCTGGCTGTCTCTTGAAGAAGGGCTGTTCACGCGAGTTTTGGATGCTGGAGGCCCAGTTATCAGTGGGACATCTTCCTTTCTCCCCAAATGGCTAGATCTCAGGAGCCATGGAGCTGGCTGTCTCTTGAAGAAGGGCTGTTCACGCGAGTTTTGGATGCTGGAGGCCCAGTTATCAGTGGGACATCTTCCTTTCTCCCCAAATGGCTAGATCTCAGGAGCCATGGAGCTGGCTGTCTCTTGAAGAAGGGCTGTTCACGCGAGTTTTGGATGCTGGAGGCCCAGTTATCAGTGGGACATCTTCCTTTCTCCCCAAATGGCTAGATCTCAGGAGCCATGGAGCTGGCTGTCTCTTGAAGAAGGGCTGTTCACGCGAGTTTTGGATGCTGGAGGCCCAGTTATCAGTGGGACATCTTCCTTTCTCCCCAAATGGCTAGATCTCAGGAGCCATGGAGCTGGCTGTCTCTTGAAGAAGGGCTGTTCACGCGAGTTTTGGATGCTGGAGGCCCAGTTATCAGTGGGACATCTTCCTTTCTCCCCAAATGGCTAGATCACAGGAGCCATGGAGCTGTCTGCCTCTTGAAGAAGGGCTGTTCACGCGAGTTTTGGATGCTGGAGGCCCAGTTATCAGTGGGACATCTTCCTTTCTCCCCAAATGGCTAGATCACAGGAGCCATGGAGCTGTCTGAAATGTTCTAATTTTCAAACAGAGGAAGATGGTGAAAACGAGGACACAGCAATCACTAGGACCCATGTGAATTCACTAGCAAGCCGAATTTGTTTCTTGAGCAGGTTTACCACACTGCTAGATCCATGGAATTCAAAAGTCAAAGCAACTCTCCTTGGACATGGCATTTTGCAAGGTCATCTCTCAAGATCTTACAGAGAGAACAAGATAAATAGAATTTAGGTTCTTGAGTACATAGTCTGATCAATAACTGGTTGAATAACTGTACACAATCAGTGATTGATGTCAGGTTACATGTATATTTATTTCTGGTGGTATTTGGCATGGCTCAGTCCTCTACATGGTCGACTACATGGGAGTCCAGTAACATAGCCATTACACCATCTACTGGTCTCCTTACACAGCACATGGGAATAAAAGAAATATATAACTTCTGGATTTTTGTTGTTCTTTACGTTGTTAATGTTTTCTGACACTAAAATGTGGTTTAAGTGTTTGAAGATCTGGTCAGTCTTCATCACTGTGTCCCTAGCACTAGGGATAGTGCCTAGCACAGAGTAATTCCTTAATAAATTACTGTAAAAGGAAATAACATCTCAGATAATTTTGTCTAAGTTCATCTAGCAGGCATTGACTCAAAATATAGTTTGCTATTAGTTTCCATGATTATTAGTGAGGTTTGATGAAGGGCAAAAGTGAACAATTACTATATAAAACTAATGGACATGAAAAGAAGCTAACCATTAGGTCATCGGAAAAGTCATGACCTACTTTTCTATGTTTTTCTATGCAAAAATGCATCATGACTTTTCAAATGACTTGATAAAACTCAAGTATCTTTTTCTTTTTTTTTTTTTTTTTGAAGAGATTTTTGCTATAGGGCGCATGCGCTCGCCAGACAGACAGAGAGAGACAAAGAGACAGAAAGCGAGAAATCACCCCCCAGAGGGGATGGCCACGCCGCAATCCCTTCTTCTCCATTCTCCTCTCAGGATCTTGGGCGTGCACGAACATGTACCCGGCATGAGTTTAAGCCACCGGGTCCAGGACTCAAACCGCGATTGACTATGTGGGAGTCCAGCGACATAGCCATTTCGCTAAATGCTGGTCCCCATAAAACTCAAATATCTTTATATCTATTGTAGATAAGTTGTGCTGAATTATTACTTTGTAGCAGAATACAGGACAGATAGATCCATTTAGTAGTCAAGTCTTGAAAAATAATAAAATGTACCGCTCTTATTAATTATATTCCACAATTATGTGACCATTAATTAAAAAGACTTAATGCATTATTATGTGAGGTGCTATAGGAGTATAAATTTCTTAAACCAGAAATCAGAGTAATGGAGTTAAAATTCTGACTCTGGCCCAGCCTTAGTGGCATAGGAGGTAGGTAGCATATTGATCTGGAATGCTAGAAGCCACCGCGGGTTTGGATCCCAACTCAGTCTGAAACACCGGGTGCATGTGTGCATGTGTAAGGTCTTGACTAGGTGGAGTACTGGGCGATGGGTGGCACGACATGACCAGATCTTGTTGGAAGTGCCTACCTCTGCCTTACATATAAACTCTCTTGCACACTCTCAGGTAAAGAAATAAGAAGCTTTAAAAAATTGTTCATTTACCACTTATTAGTTGTCTGACCTTCAGACAATTGCCACATTAACCACTGTCAGTCTCAGTGGCCCCATCAATAAAATTGTCAAAAGCATAGTAATTAAATCTTAAAGTCAATGTGTGGATTAAAAACTATAGTCCATGGAAAGCATCTGGCACTGCGTAAATAGTAATAAAAACAAGCTATGATTAAAATAAGTAAGAGCTGTTTCAGAAAGGTACATCTATCATTATTATCATGTCCTTGATGCAAAGACAAATTGTCTTCTTAGAGAGTTGTGACCAGCTCAGGACACTGGCAGAAAGTTGGCAACTAACACTGGAGCCCAAGTCCCCTGCTATCAAACATGGTATAAAAAGGTTAGTAGGCCAGTGTTTAACTACCAGCCACATGATAGTGGGAAACCTCTCAAGAAATAGCAAGCTAATGTTTAAATTGAAGAGAGGATGGGTAATAGGAAGAACAAAAGCCCTGGCCCTATTGCCATTTGCACAAATAGACAATACCAAGTATCAGCTGTTGAGCAAGGAAAGAAGTTTATTTTAGAAATATTTTTATGGGAGTCAACAGGTGGCATGGTGGTTAAAGGTGCTGGATTCCCACATGGCCGACTGCAGTTCAAATCTCAGACCTGGCGGGTTCCCTTTCTCTCTCTGTCTCTCTCTTTGCTCAAATCATAAAGTAATAAGAACAAATGGAATTCAAAATAAATAAATTTTTAAAAAGAAATATTTTTATGATTTCAAGTCATTTGTATGTATTTAGGTACATTTTGACACCACTAAAAGGAAAGACTTTTTTGTCTTTATATGAGTCTCTCTGAGCAAGTATATAAGATTTGAACAAAATTAAAACATTTAGTATAGTTTCTATAATGATAGTTTTCTGAATTGTGTAGTGCCATCACATTTGAATCTCCTTTATTTTGTTTCCATAGAATGCTGAAATTTCTGTTTTTGAAGTAAATATACGCTTTGTTGGTGGACTACTGTCAGCCTACTATCTGTCTGGAGAAGAGGTAAGCTGCAAGTGATTACAAAAGGTCTTAAAATTACATTTCTTGGTAAAATATGTTTTTTGTGTGATATATTTTAAAAGAATCCATTAAGTTTGCATATTTGAGTGGACCTGTAGCTTATGCTGAATTTCTTATACTATCTACTAAGTAAATGAACAAGCTAGGAAAGCCCCATAAAACTCAAATATCTTTATATCTATTGTAGATAAGTTGTGCTGAATTATTACTTTGTAGCAGAATACAGGACAGATAGATCCATTTAGTAGTCAAGTCTTGAAAAATAATAAAATGTACCGCTCTTATTAATTATATTCCACAATTATGTGACCATTAATTAAAAAGACTTAATGCATTATTATGTGAGGTGCTATAGGAGTATAAATTTCTTAAACCAGAAATCAGAGTAATGGAGTTAAAATTCTGACTCTGGCCCAGCCTTAGTGGCATAGGAGGTAGGTAGCATATTGATCTGGAATGCTAGAAGCCACCGCGGGTTTGGATCCCAACTCAGTCTGAAACACCGGGTGCATGTGTGCATGTGTAAGGTCTTGACTAGGTGGAGTACTGGGCGATGGGTGGCACGACATGACCAGATCTTGTTGGAAGTGCCTACCTCTGCCTTACATATAAACTCTCTTGCACACTCTCAGGTAAAGAAATAAGAAGCTTTAAAAAATTGTTCATTTACCACTTATTAGTTGTCTGACCTTCAGACAATTGCCACATTAACCACTGTCAGTCTCAGTGGCCCCATCAATAAAATTGTCAAAAGCATAGTAATTAAATCTTAAAGTCAATGTGTGGATTAAAAACTATAGTCCATGGAAAGCATCTGGCACTGCGTAAATAGTAATAAAAACAAGCTATGATTAAAATAAGTAAGAGCTGTTTCAGAAAGGTACATCTATCATTATTATCATGTCCTTGATGCAAAGACAAATTGTCTTCTTAGAGAGTTGTGACCAGCTCAGGACACTGGCAGAAAGTTGGCAACTAACACTGGAGCCCAAGTCCCCTGCTATCAAACATGGTATAAAAAGGTTAGTAGGCCAGTGTTTAACTACCAGCCACATGATAGTGGGAAACCTCTCAAGAAATAGCAAGCTAATGTTTAAATTGAAGAGAGGATGGGTAATAGGAAGAACAAAAGCCCTGGCCCTATTGCCATTTGCACAAATAGACAATACCAAGTATCAGCTGTTGAGCAAGGAAAGAAGTTTATTTTAGAAATATTTTTATGGGAGTCAACAGGTGGCATGGTGGTTAAAGGTGCTGGATTCCCACATGGCCGACTGCAGTTCAAATCTCAGACCTGGCGGGTTCCCTTTCTCTCTCTGTCTCTCTCTTTGCTCAAATCATAAAGTAATAAGAACAAATGGAATTCAAAATAAATAAATTTTTAAAAAGAAATATTTTTATGATTTCAAGTCATTTGTATGTATTTAGGTACATTTTGACACCACTAAAAGGAAAGACTTTTTTGTCTTTATATGAGTCTCTCTGAGCAAGTATATAAGATTTGAACAAAATTAAAACATTTAGTATAGTTTCTATAATGATAGTTTTCTGAATTGTGTAGTGCCATCACATTTGAATCTCCTTTATTTTGTTTCCATAGAATGCTGAAATTTCTGTTTTTGAAGTAAATATACGCTTTGTTGGTGGACTACTGTCAGCCTACTATCTGTCTGGAGAAGAGGTAAGCTGCAAGTGATTACAAAAGGTCTTAAAATTACATTTCTTGGTAAAATATGTTTTTTGTGTGATATATTTTAAAAGAATCCATTAAGTTTGCATATTTGAGTGGACCTGTAGCTTATGCTGAATTTCTTATACTATCTACTAAGTAAATGAACAAGCTAGGAAAGTTTGACAGAACATATTGTCAGAAGTGTTAAATAATTCCTCAGGCAAAATTGGCTTTGTTATGTTACATAGGATAAAACTACAACTACAAATTACATATTCCTGTGGACAAAGAAAAGAGGCTTCGTGCAGTGGCAGTCTTGTGAATGAATATTTTTAATTATTTTAATGCTAGTATAATATTAAATTTGTAAAACTTTAAATGAAGAAAGAATGGCAAGTAAGATATAAAAAAGACAGTTTTATGAAATTGAAGGGTCATCGAGCTTCCCAGTGAACAGTCCTATGGGTCATTACTCCTGTGTCAAGTGCTTTGCAGCTCTTCTTGGGTCAAGGCTTAGTTAATTATCTGTTGCTTGGACCAAAGCAGGAATTTTTAATTTAGCTGCTGTTTATTATAGAGTAAGAAAGGATTTTTGTATCATGTTCATAAAGGCCACTAATGCTATTTTCTTGAAGAGGTTTTGACCGACTTAGGAAATACATAAAATGCCCACTAAGGGTCCTGGAATGAACCTCACCTTTAATGTTGACAGTATTAAAAGCTGACATGAAGGAAAGACAGTCACATGTTTCATTCAAGTGCATGACAGTGATTTGTGTGAGCCTCAGCGTTCTGGCTAGGGGGTGAATCTTACCCAGCGTGGTATTGCTTGTATTTCTATGCTCCTTCAAACACTTTACGCAGAACAAAAAATGGATAACAAGAAAAACTGCCTTTGTTCTCATCCTTCAGGTACTTTCCTAATCATAACAAAGTAACCTTCGCAGTTTTGTGTTTTCTTAGATTTTATCCCACCATAAACTTTTGCAGAATGTGTAGTTGGCTTCTGTATCCCTTATGTTTGTCGTACTTGAATTAAGTTCTCTTTTTCATTATACTCTGTCACCTTCTAAGTCAGGGTAATGAGACCTTCTGATATGTTATGTCACTTCCTCCCTTTGTTCAGTTTTTCCAGACCCAGGTAACTTCATTTTTTCAGTTCAAGTTAGGGTGTTCTAAGCACAAAGCCAAGGAAGAGATCTATATTTTTAGAAAGTCTTGCTTAAAATTAACTAATGTTATTTTAGCTTACAAGTTTCTGCTTTTAGAATTCTTGTCCTGGAATATCCAGTGCCTGGATGTTCTCATTGTTTTTGACATTGCATGCTAGGATGACCTTGGTTGTAACTTTCTTCATAATTTATGTGGATGCGAGACAATCTGAAGGAAATCAGGACTGCATCCTTCTGTGTCTGGGCTAAATTGGGATACTAGAACACACACGAGATGAAAAGATCTATTTCTTTTAAACATGAATCATGTTTAATTAGAACAGTTATTTGCTCATCCTCATAACAATATTTTTTAGAGAGAGATTTTTGCTATGGGGCATATGCACTATCCAGAGAGACATGAGGCGGCGGGGCAGAGAGAAGGAGAAATCACCCCCAGGGGTGGGAGGGATGGCCACACTGCAATCCCTTTTCCTCCTGTCTCCTCTCGGGATTTTGAGCATGCATGCACATGTGCCTGGTGTGAGTTTCAAGCTGCTAGGTCCAGAACTTGACCCCCAGTCAACTACATGGGAGTCCAGCGATGTAACCATTATGCCATCTGCTGATACCTCATGACAACGTTTTAAGTTACACATGTATGTCTGTGTATATGTGTATATTTAATGATATATATTGGATCATCAGAAAAGTTATGACATATTTTTTTTCTTTGCAAAAATTTGTTATGACCTTTCCAATGATCCAACATATTGGATTTATGTTTTAATAATTATTTTATTTAACTTTAATTATTTATTTTTACTTTGACTAGAGAAGGACATAGAGAGAGAGAGTGAGGGAGAGAGAGAGAAAGCGAGAAAGCAAGCTGCAAGGTCTGAGACTCAAACCGCGGTCGGCCATGTGGGAGTCCAGTGCCCTTAACCCCCACACCATCCTCCAATCCCCAACATATTAGATTTATAAACTTAAATAAATATGTCCCAGATATAGTTTGCCTGTAGATAAAAATAATTTGCCCAAGACTTTATCAGGGTATTTTAGGCTATATTAGGCAACTCTAATAAACAAAGGGCTATAAAGAATATTTCAATTCAGAGTAACTTCTTTTTGTCTATTTGCTTTGTCTTCATCACTGTGCAAATATTGTTTTTAATATACCTTGGTTTTATATATTTTAATTTCATGATAAAATTTATTTAAGGCATCTTATATTTTTCTATAGAATGCATTTTATTTGAATTTATAAAGATTCATCTTCTTATTTGACAGTCCCATGAATGTTGGACAACTGAGTTGTTTCTAGTATTCTTGTGTTCTATTGGGTCTCAGAAAAACCATGATGTATTTTCCTGAACTTTTCTATATATAAATGTATCATGACTTTTCAGATGACCCAATCGTATTTTGAATAATGTAGCTGTAATCAGTCAGTAAATATTTATTTTCCCAAGTAGAGTTGCTAGGTGAGAAGTGCTTAGCACTAGATCATTTAACATCCTCTCTTGCCTCATTCTCCCACTTCCTTCATCCCTAATAGTCACTTTCCATTTGACTAGTGCATTTAGGGGAAATAGGTATCAAGAACGTGATCTGAAAAGACTACTTTACCCCAAGTCCACTTGAAGTATCTTTCTCCATATCAAAGTGGAAAAAATAGCATTCATTTAATAGAAGAACATCTACATGGCTAAATTATGGATAGGTTTGTTTCGGATAGTTGATAATGTTCTGTACCACACATGTTTATATATATAATAGATCAAAAGATTTACTAAGGTAGTCTAGGGGAATTCATTTTTCTAAATTAGTTCTTTCTTCTTCTAGTTTTTTGCTTTAGGGCACTTGTGCTCACCTAGAGAGAGAACGAGGTAAAATGAGAAATCACTTTCCAGGGGCATGACCATGCCACAGTCCCTTCTTCTCTAGTCTCCTCTTGGGATCTCGGGCATAAACACACATGTGCCCAGTGTGATTTTCAAGCCACTCAGACCAGCACTCAAATTGCACAGCCACGTGTGTGGGATCCAGTGCTTTAACCACCATGCCACCTGCTAGCTCCAGTCTTCCTAAGTTATTTCATAGACAGAGCACTAAACTACCCTATTTGACATTCTGATTTTATCACTGAGGCTCAG